AGCCAGAGCAAGAGGAATGTTTAGCAAGTTTCATTGCTGGCAAAGATTGTGGCGCTACTCCCCACGGGGTCCATTAGCGGCAAAGGAGATGGCTAGGCTAAATGCTAACGACTCACTCGGGCGCACTATATACGTCACGGTAAACTCAGATCCAATCGTTTAAATCTGCAAAAGAAGTTAACCCCTCCCACCTGTTAACGGAGCTCAATGGTGCACCTCCAGACCTTAGTACGGAATGAAATTTGTACTATGGTGTGCTCCGGACTCTGGACTCTCCAGAACCCAGACTCTCCACTCCTCAGACTCTCCAGACCCCAGACTCTCCAGACCCCAGACTCTCCAGACCCCAGACTCTCCACTCCTGAGACTCTCCAGACCCCAGACTCTCCAGACCCCAGACTCTCCAGACCCCAGACCCCAGACTTTCCAGACCCCAGACTCTCCAGACCCCAGACTATCCAGACTCTCCAGACTCTCCAGACCCCAGACTCTCCCGACCCCAGACTCTCGTTGGTGCTAAACTTTCCCCAGTTCTGCCCTGAACACGACCCCTCAGCCCTCCTCAGCCCTCCTCAGCCCTTCTTAGCCAGACTTGCTTGTACCTATAACTGGTTCTGTGCGGCTGATGGTGTCTGAGTTGAATTCATGATGAAACAGGCTGAAAAGTTGCCGCACCTTGGACCGACCTGATGTAAGAGAGCGAGACCGGTGTGCGTGAGTGTGCGTCTGCTTTCACACACTGCTCCAATTCATGCAGCGCTTTGTTAAATTAAACCCACCTTAAAATAACGCCAGAAAAACTCTTGCTTTCTCGTCTGAAGAGAGCTACGTGTTGAGAAGGGTCTATGAGCGAGAGAATGTTGCAACGAGCAGCACCGGGGAGATTTGTTTCGGGTAGAAAAGTTTGATCAATGGTTTGAGAGGCCTCGCTGGGTGACAGTATACTGTAGGCCAATCAGGAAGAAGGGGCGGGTCCCTCTCTCTTTGTCTTTCTATCTCTCGCTCTGTTTCTCTCTGTCTCTCTGTATCTAGTTTTATCTTTCTATCTCTGTCTCTCTCGGTCTCTGTCTGTCTCTCTCTGTCTCACTATTTCTGTTTCTCTCTCACTCTGTCTCCCTATCACTCGCTATTTCTCTCTCCTATCTCTCTATCTCTCTTTCTCTGTCTCTCTTTCTGTCTCTCTCTCCCTCTGTCTCTCTCTCTCTGTCTCTCTCTCCCTCTGTCTCTCTGTCTCTGTCTCTGTCTCTCTATCTCTTTCTCTCTCTCCCTCGATCTCTCTCTCTCTGTCTCTCTCTCTGTCTCTATATCTCTCTCTCTGTCTCTCTCTTTGTATCTCTGTCTCTGTCCGTCTCTCTCTCTGTCCATGTCTCTCTCTCTCTCTGTCTCTCTCTCCCTCTGTCTCTCTGCCTCTGTCTCTCTATCTCTTTCTCTCTCTTCCTCTATCTCTCTCTCTCTGTCTCTCTATTTGTCTCTCTCTCTCTGTCTCTATATCTCTCTCTCTGTCTCTCTCTTTGTATCTCTGTCTCTGTCCGTCTCTCTATCTTCCTCTATCTCTCTCTCTCTGTCTCTCTCTATATCTCTCTCTCTCTGTCTCTCTTTTTGTATCTCTGTCTCTCTCTCTCTTTCTGTGTGTCTCTCTCTCTCTTTGTCTCTCTGTCTCTCTATTTCGCTCTCTCTCTGTGTCTCTCTGTCTCTCTCTCTTGGTCTCTCTCTCTCTCTCTCTCTCTTTGTCTCTCTCTCTCTCTAAAACCAAGTTTCAAACTGTTTTCCAGAGTAAAGCACATATTTGTACAGCACAGTTCACGCACAAGGCACCTCACAATAATCGCACTTTTAGAGCAATTAATGGTATTTTTCTTTACAAAATCTGCGTGCCACCCACACACACCCACACGCACACACGCACACACACACACACACACTCTCTCTCTCACTCTCTCTCTCTCTAGCACTTTAAGAGAAATTTATGGTATTTTCCTTTCAAAAATATGTGTCTAATCACTGAGGAGTGCCTTAAAGCAGCCTAAACCACCCACCCACCCACACACACCCGTGCACGCACACACACAGACACACACACGCAGACAGGCACACACACACTCCTGATAAGAATTGAGTCTTGATGATAACCGTTTCCTGCTGTGAACCCAAAGCACTCTCTGAAGGCCTGCCATCAACAACTCTTGTCTTGTGCTAAAAATGACCCGATGAGATTAAAAATAGCAAAAAAAATCCCTAAATAAGGCCCAAAAATCAAAGAAAACTAAATAATTAGGGTATTTTTTAACCACTGTGGCGAGTCAGTTTGACCCGAGGAGAGCACGAGAGATAAAGCTGGGAAAGGTACAGAACTTTATGTCAGAATTTCAGATGTGTTAATTCATGTATTTATTGAGGCACAATAATTACTTGGAACTGAAAAAAATCTACCTCTTTTTGGGGCATCTCACTTGGTTTATAGGCACTTTTACCATCAAGCTGCATTTCAATCATTAGGCCGATAATTAAGAGACTCGAAGTAAAATGAATTATTTGTGTTATTTGTGCTGCTACATAAAAAAAACTTTAATTCGCCAACACAGATCAGAGAATCAAACCGTTAAAACACGTGAAAAAAAACGGGGGGACAAACTAATTGGTTTTGGATAAAGGAGAGATGAGAGAGGAGCGAGAACAGAGGATTGAAGACAGGAGAGAGAGGAGAGGAGATAGGAGAGAGAATAGAGGAGATAGAAGAGGGTTAAGAGAAGAGAGAGAGATGATAGAAGAGAGGAAAGAGGAGAGGATGGAAGATGGAAAGAAGAATGCGAGAGAGGATAGAAGAGAGGAGAGAGAGGGAAGAGGGAGAGAGGGAGAGGATAGAAGAGAGGAAAGAGGAGAGAGGATGGAAGATGGAAAGAAGAAAGCGAGAGATGAGAGACGATAGGAGAGATATGAGAGGAGAGAGGGAGAGGATAGAAGAGAGAGATGAGAGGAGAGAGCGAGAGGATAGAAGAGAGAGAGGTGAGAGAATGAGGATAGAAGAGAGAGATATGAGAGAGAGGGAGAAGGGAGCGAGAGAGGAGAGAGAGAGGATAGAAGAGAGAGATGAGAGGAGAGAGCGAGAGGATAGAAGAGAGAGAGGTGAGAGAATGAGGATAGAAGAGAGAGATATGAGAGAGAGGGAGAAGGGAGCGAGAGAGGAGAGAGAGAGGATAGAAGAGAGAAATGAGAGAGATAGAAGAGAGAGATGAGAGGAGAGAGGGAGAGGATAGAAGAGAGAGAGAAGGGAGGAGAGAGGGAGAGGATAGAAGAGAGAGAGAAGGGAGCGAGAGAGGAGAGATGGAGAGGATAATAGAGAGAGATGAGAAATGAGAGAGGATAGAAGAGAGAGATATGAGAGGAGAGCGCGAGAGGATAGAAGAGAGAGAGATGAGAGAATGAGGATAGAAGAGAGAGATATGAGAGAGGGAGAGGATAGAAGAGAGATATGAGAGGAGAGAGCGAGAGGATAGAAGAGAGAAAGATGAGAGAATGAGGATAGAAGAGAGAGATATGAGAGAGAGGGAGAGGATAGAAGAGAGATATGAGAGGAGAGAGCGAGAGGATAGAAGAGAGAGAGATGAGAGAATGAGGATAGAAGAGAGAGATATGAGAGAGGGAGAAGGGAGCGAGAGATGAGAGAGAGAGGATAGTAGAGAGAGATGAGAGAGATAGAAGAGATAGATATGAGAGGAGAGAGGGAGAGGATAGAAGAGAGAGAGAAGGGAGGAGAGAGGGAGAGGATAGAAGAGAGAGAGAAGGGAGCGAGAGAGGGAGAGGATAATAGAGAGAGAGATGAGAAATGAGAGAGAGGATAGAAGAGAGAGATATGAGAGGAGAGATGGAGAGGATAGAAGCCATAGAGATGAGAGAGAAAGGGGATAGAAGAGAGGATAGAGAGGGGAGAGAGAGACGAGATTGGAGAGAGAAGACAGGGGCCAAAAAAAATGCATTGCTTGTTTCAAGGAGTGGACACTAAAGGGTTAAACTCTGGGACTTTCTCAGGCCTCGGTCGTCCTCCACGTGCGCTCTGCTCCGTGCGCTGTGGTTCGAGTGGGCGGGGTCGAGTGGGCGGGTTCGAGTGGGCGGGTTCGAGTGGGCGGGTTCGAGTGGGCGGGTTCGAGTGGGCGGGTTCGAGTGGGCGGGTTCGAGTGGGCGGGTTCGAGTGGGCGGGTTCGAGTGGGCGGGTTCGATCGAGTGGGCGGGTTCGAGTGGGCGGGTTCGAGTGGGCGGGGTCGAGTGGGCGGGTTCGAGTGGGCCGGTTCGAGTGGGCGGGTTTGAGTGGGCCGGTTCGAGTGGGCGGGTTCGAGTGGGCGGGTTCGAGTGGGCGGGTTCGAGTGGGCAGGTTCGAGTGGGCGGGTTCGATCGAGTGGGCGGGTTCGAGTGGGCGGGGTCGAGTGGGCGGGTTTGAGTGGGCGGGTTCGAGTGGGCGGGGTCGAGTGGGCCGGTTCGAGTGGGCCGGTTCGAGTGGGCGGGGTCGAGTGGGCGGGTTCGAGTGAGCGGGTTCGAGTGGGCGGGTTCGAGTGGGCGGGTTCGAGAGGGCGGGTTCGAGTGGGCAGGTTCGAGTGGGCGGGTTCGAGTGGGCGGGTTCGAGAGGGCCGGTTCGAGAGGGCGGGTTCGAGTGGGCGGGTTCGAGAGGGCCGGTTCGAGTGGGCTGTTTCGAGAGGGCCGGTTCGAGAGGGCCGGTTCGAGAGGGCCGGTTCGAGAGGGCCGGTTCGAGTGGGCCGGTTCGAGAGGGCCGGTTCGAGAGGGCCGGTTCGAGTGGGCCGGTTCGAGTGGGCCGGTTCGAGTGGGCGGGTTCGAGTGGGCGGGTTCGAGTGGGCGGGTTCGAGTGGGCGGGGTCGAGTGGGCGGGTTCGAGTGGGCGGGTTCGAGTGGGCGGGGTCGAGTGGGCGGGGTCGAGTGGGCGGGTTCGAGTGGGCGGGTTCGAGTGGGCGGGTTCGAGTGGGCGGGTTCGAGTGGGCGGGTTCGAGTGGGCGGGTTCGAGAGGGCGGGTTCGAGTGGGCGGGTTCGAGTGGGCCGGTTCGAGAGGGCCGGTTCGAGTGGGCGGGTTCGAGTGGGCGGGTTCGAGTGGGCGGGGTCGAGTGGGCCGGTTCGAGTGGGCCGGTTCGAGTGGGCCGGTTCGAGTGGGCCGGTTCGAGTGGGCCGGTTCGAGTGGGCCGGTTGGAGTGGGCCGGTTCGGTCTCGTCTAACTTCTGGAGATAATAAGTCTGCGCTGTGTCGTGTCGTGACTGATTACAGAATAATGTGCTTTTGTTGCGTTGACAAAGAGCCGCTGGTGTTTGACAGACAATCTGACGGATGTGTTTCTTCACACACACAGAGACAGAGACACAGAGACTCAAATCTCGCCGTGAGGAGGAAAATGTTGGGGGTTTAACGTTCTGTCACAAGTTATAAATCGACACCAACGTCACACGAGCTGAAATCTGAAACCGTTTAGGCCGTAACGATATCTGGCAGATCTGCTCCTATTTGTTTCTTCAATCGCTGTTGACATAATTAGACAGATATCTGAAAACCACGGCTCAGAACAGATTCTAGTCACTGTCACCATCTGTCAACACATGTTTTCTATTGAACGGGAAGTATACAATACAATACAATACAATACAATCTATTCTTGTATAGCCCTGAATCACAACAGAAGTCATCTCAGAGACTTAACAAAACCATTGAAGTCACGAACACAGATCAGAGAATCAACAGTTAAGGCACAAAAAGAATATAGAACACAATCCTAACCCGCCTCTTCTGTTAAGAGAAGGTTTGTGGTTCCTCACAAAAATGGCTCCTTTCACCCCCCTCTCAAACAATTTTTGTCTCAAGCCAGAATTTTTTTGTGAGGAAACACAAACCTTCTCCTAACAGAGGAGGTGGGTTAAGAGTTGTTTTGCCTCGTATCTATGACGACGTCCTAAAAACAACGTCCTAACTATAGATAAGGCCAGTGACGTGCTAATGAGTCAGGAGTGGTTGGCTGGCTGGTTGGTTGGTTGGTTGGTTGGTTGGTTGGTTGGTTGGTTGGTTGGTTGGTTGGTTGGTTGGTTGGTTGGTTGGTTGGTTGGTAGGTAGGTAGGTAGGTAGGTAGGTAGGTAGGTAGGTAGGTAGGTAGGTAGGTAGGTAGGTAGGTAGGTCATCACCAGAATGATTGACAAATGACCAATGGTCTATTTCACAAGTTGACAGCCAAAAAATGGTCAGGGATTTCTCAACTAGATTAATGTTGGTGTTCTGAGTCCGAATATCACATGCATTTTGCTCTATCAGGTCAACTTTTTGAGATACAGCCATAGTGTTACGGATTATGTACGTCTAAGTTATTATGAATTTTGCTTATCAAATTTGATGGAGTAAATAAAAACTGAATGACTTTGGATACGTTGACTTTTATTACTTGAGGAAAACGGAAAAAACGTCAAGGGTTTCTCAGCTGATGATCCGCAGAAATTTGTTTTTTACGCAAAATGAATTTTAAAAAATATTTCTGTAGCAAAAAATCCAGACCTGATTGAGCAAAATCAAGGTCAATTTCGGACTCGGAGCATCAACATTAGCAGCTGGAAAATCCTGGACTATTTTCAAAAAATATTTTTTCGTTACCCAGTGTTTTCTTTTGGTCTATTTTGGTCTCTCTCTGGTCTCTAAAAAAAATTATATACAACATATTTTCTATGAAGATGAAGACAGTTGTGGTCTGACAATACTCGTACAAGACTCTGTGGACAAATCTGTATTATCTACGAAAAACAACAAACTACTGCTACTGCTGGACTGTAGGTTTTCAGTTCTGAACAGGAGGTGCAGGAGGAGAACTAGATGATGAGGCAAACAGGAGGAGAAGAGGAGGAGGAGAAAATGAAGAGAACAGGAGGATAAGGGGAAGAGGAGGGGAACAGGAGGATGAGGAGAAGGAGAGGAGATTGAGGAGAACCGGCGAAAAATAACAGTTTATTTTATACACATTGCCCTCTGCTTGCAACTCAACATAGAATTCAAATAATTTTTTCTCCCATTTCACACAAATTCATTGATATTCCAAACCCATCAATTCAAACCACCCTTTTACCAACGACTACATTACATCTCTATTGAAATTGAAATCTCCATTTGCGACCTGCGATGGCTTAGGCCGCTCCCTCTTTCTCCCCGGACAAATATACGGCAGGAGATCCAGCGGCGAAGTGGCCATGAAGGTTAAATGGCAGGCGCTTCATTCCCCTCGATCAATAAAAGTGATAAAACAGAAATAGTGGAGAGGGCAGGGCAATGTAAATATAGTTAAGCCCGGCGCACACAGTCACTTCTGGAAACTAGGCCGCATTACGAGGGTCGTATCATTTAGTTTTAGCCAGTGTTTATGCTAATGGGGGTGAAGAGGCTAAAGCTGGATATAGATCGTTGCTTGAGGGATCAAAGCTGTAAAAATCTTAAACGTGGGTTAACAGGATCCGCCGTGGCCTCCCCATGTAAGCCGAGCGCAAAGGGACCGACTTAACATGGAGAGAAGAGCAGAAAAAGAAGAAGAAGAAAAAAAAGTTTTGAATTAGCGCTATCTACAAAACCTATACGGTGCGGGGCCGGCAGTTAACCTTTGCCGGTGATATCATTTGGGTAAGTGGTATGCTTTTTAATTGCGAGTCTTAATTTTAGATTCGCAGTAATTGGTGTCATAAAAGAGTCCGTCCTTGCGATTGCTGGAAGGAAATGAGCGCCGGAGTGTGAGGAGAAGCAAGTTGGCAGAGCGGTGTTTTGATAAATTCCAATCAATACACAAACTTAAATATCATGGCAACTGTTTTACTTTTGAAATCTCCACAGAATCTTCATAATGAGTCAGACTTGTCCTTGACTGATGATACATTGTACATTAGGGAAACATAGTATTTTTATTAATTTGCTACCCTAACCCTAGAAGTATGAAGTGGTGATATTCAGCCTATTTCCTTAAAAGCATTAACAAGGTTGCTTCTTCTGGTCTTTTTATGGTCTCTCTCTGGTCTCTTTATGGTCTCTATCTGGTCCCTCTCTCCGGTCTCTCTTTGGTCTCTTTATGGTCTCTCTCTGGTCTCTATTTGGTCCCTCTATCTGGTCTCTCTTTGATCTCTTTCTGGTCTCTCTTTGGTCTCTTTATGGTCTCTGTATGGTCTCTCTCTCTGCTCTCTCTCTGCTCACTCTCATGTCTCTCTATGGTCTTTCTCTGATCTCTCTCCGGTCTCTCTTTGGTCTCTTTATGGTCTCTCTCTGGTCTCTATTTGGTCCCTCTATCTGGTCTCTCTTTGATCTCTTTCTGGTCTCTCTTTGGTCTCTTTATGGTCTCTCTCTGGTCTCTCTTTGGTCTCTTTGTGGTCTCTGTATGGTCTCTCTCTCTGCTCTCTCTCTGCTCACTCTCATGTCTCTCTATGGTCTTTCTCTGATCTCTCTCTGATCTCTCTCTGGTCTCTCTTTGGTCTCTTTATGGTCTCTCTATGGTCTTTCTCTGATCTCTCTGGTCTCTCTCTGGTCTCTAACAATTAACATCTGTAAAATAAATTACATATAAAAAGTTCTCTATCAAGATGAAAACGGTATATGTTGTGGTCTGATACTATACTACTACTACTACTACTACTACTACAACTACTACTAGGTTTCCAGATTTGCTTAAGAATTATCAAAAAATATGTCGTACATTACAGAAGTTTATAAATAATAAAAAAACAAGAAAAGCACTTCAAATACGGGGCCTTTCAAGCAAACTCAGAAGTGTTTTTTTGCTATTGTACTTAATTAGCGCCAAATGTTCCTTGATTGAATCCATTGACCTTCATTCAGAGTGAATACAGAATGTCTTTTTCAGAGGAGTCCTGGCCCCGGAGAGAGGGAAGCTATTCCACATGTTGATTTTTTTGCTTTTTTAACCAAAGGGACACAGGGAGAACATGCAAACTCCACCCAGAAAGACCCTGTTCCGACTGGGATTCAAACCCAGGACCTTGTTGCGGGGAACAGCTAACTACTCAGCCACTGTGCCGCCCAAAGAATGATACACACTGACTTAAAACAAAAATGAATGGGAAAACAAATCTTATTATCCTTTTATACGGAGACACAAACCCAAAAAGCTCAAAGACCTAAAGATTTTTATTTTATTTTCCGTCTGGTATGTACTGTTAAACATAAAATAAGGGGGGTTGAAGTCCATCTTATTTTGTATTTTCTACATGTTTTAAGATTTTTTTTCTTCTTTCCGCTCCTTTTCGTTTGTGTGACAAGACGACAATTATAGGAAAAGTAATTGTAATGTGATGTATTGTCATGTCCACAAGTGGGGTCTCCAAACAAATACATTTTGACTCATTACCCATGTATTACAAGTACAAATCTATGGTTATAGAATATTATACAATATTTTACATGTGTTCTCGTGGTTTTTTCAGAATTATTACATCTATAGTTTTATATCACGCTGGTAGAAAGGGGAAGCTCTTCTCCTCTTCTGTTGTGGACACCCCCGGTATAAAGGATCGCTCCTCCCATAACTGGGCGACAGTGGCTCAGTTGGTAGAGCCTTTGTGCCTGAAGGTTGTGGGTTCGAGCGCACCGTAAGACCTACTTCACGACTCCCACTTATGTCTGCTGTCGTTGTGTCCTTGGGCAAGACACTTAACCACTCTTTGCCTGAAACCCCCACTGAAAGATCTCAGCTCCTGTGGACTCAGCACCTGCAGGAGGATCAGTGAGGGGCGGGTGCTCTGTGGACTCGGTGCAGCTCTGACTGCCACCCCCCCGACCCAGAAATGGATTAAGGGGAAGAAAATGGATGGATGGATGGATGGCACCCATAAATGAAGTGGAATCAAATCCACTGCGAGATGTTGCATGTTGAAATATATTTGGCCCGACCAGTAATTATAAAACTAGGCCATATTGCGACGGGAGATAATTAACGTTAGTGTGTCCCTGGGAGGAGGTGGGAGGAGGAGGGGGAGGAGGGGGAGGCTCTGACATGGCCTATTCAATTACGGCCTTCCCCCGTGGGTGTGGAAACTAGGAAGATAGAATATCTAAATTAGGCTCAAGACAAATGTGTGAGAGAATCAGATGGAACAGGTCAGAAGAGGCGACGCAGCGGCGGAAATCATAAAGTTATTTTGGAAACTTTAGACAAAATGTCAATGTGATGTCGGCGTCGGACGTCAGTCGTGAGAGGAAACGAAAAGTTGTGATGTTTTATTCTACGATTGCAAATCCAAAATAAGTAATGTCTTCCTGCCAATAACCCACATGGCACGGATCAAACCTGATTGCATGGTTATTTTTATACAACGCTTTTCGGACACTTTCACTTCAAACACAGTGATAAACTACTGCTACAGCTGCCCCGGGGCACACTGACAGAAGCGAGGCAACCAGTCTTTGCCATCGGCACCTTCCACCACCACCAACCATTCACACACCAGACTCATTCTAATGTGGGTGCGTGTCTTGCCTAAGGACACCACCGCAGTTTGGCACTTTACAGCTGCAGTCGCCCCACTGAGGCATCTGGGGTTCCCAGAGGTCTCCCATCACAGTACTACCCGGAACATCTCCTTAGGGAGGCATCCGGAGCAGATGCCCAAGCCACCTCAACTAGTTCCTCTCGACGTGGAGAAGCAGCGGCTCTACTCCGAGCTCCTCCCGTGTGACTGAGCTCCTCATCTTATCTCTAAGGGAGCAGCCACTCATTTTGACCGCTTGTATCCGCGATCTCGTTCTTTCGGTCATTACTCAAAGCTCATGACCAAAGGTGAGGGAGGGAACAAACATTGACTGGTAAATCGAGAGCTTTGCCTTTTGCCTTTCTCCGGTCGAGCACCATGGCCTCAGATTTGGAGCTGATTCTCATCCCAGCCGCTTCACACTCGGCTGCAAACCGTCCCAGTGCATGTTTCAGGTCCTGGTTCGTTGGAGCCAACAGGACAACATCGTCCGCAAACAGCAGAGATGAAATCCTGTGGTCCCTGAACCGGATCCTCTCCCTGGCTGTGCCTAGAAATTCTGTCCATAAAGCCAGTGAACAGAAAAAGAAGGGACAGAGTAGAAGCAATATCATTAATACGACATGACTCTCATAAATACAAAAAAAGAAGAAACAAAATGGTTGCAGATGATCGAATAAGACAAATCCTTCAGGCTAGCTAACAGTAGCTGCATATTTACATCTAATCATTCTGTATTGAAACAAATAGCAGGGGTTGGTGCAGTGCAATCCATAACACCAAAAGCTAAGATTCTCTCAACATCTTAAAAAAAACCTTAGCAACAATTTTCTGCAAGGCCGAAACTCAATTCTATGATATCATTAAAACATACGACCGCGTTTCATTAAGAAATTAGTCCCTCATCATTAACCTCGCGGCTGCAGCTGTGCAAATGTCTCCGATATGTCCATTGATTACATTTTTCTTGTGTATTTATAACTATATATCTTCCAATTCGAGGTTCGCAGAGATATGTGTGCGTCCGCCTTTGATTGGATTTAATTAGGACGCAATTACGGATGAGATGTGAGGCTGAGCGCTTCCAAGCCGGGCTGGGATTGGATTTTTGACGTAAGCAACAGATGATGAGAAATGTAAAGAGAGAGCATGAGTTTGACTGCGTGGTCAAGTAGAGGGTAATCCAATACTGCGTCGTGTAAACCATAGAAAGCATGTGATTATACAGGTACTGCCAGGTTTAGCCTACATAGAAGAAGTCAATCCTTTTAGATCTTTTAGCACTAGCAATAGCACTTTAATTACTGGGTGTAAGCGTGTGTTTGTATGTGTTCGGACTTCAGGTCGGGACTGAGATAAATACAGACTCTAAAGAAATTTGCACAAAGATAGAGTGTGCAAACTACCAGCGATGAACCAGGAGCTAAGCCAGGGACAAAACTGGATAAAAAAATGACGTTAAGCACATTGTTCTAAATGTAACTATTAATATCTAATGATGTGGTGGGTTAACATTTGTGCACGAATGAAAACGATGATGTATAACGTGCCATGGAAGCCCTTTACCATTAATGCTGCAAGTGTAGTAATAATAGTAATACACTTTAGGGGCCACTCAAAAGGGTCTTGCGGGCAGGATTTGTCTCTATGTGGTTTTCAAGAGCAAAAGCATGGACATATGTCAACTGGTACTTTGCCAAGAAATGAAGTAAGTAATCTTTTTTTTTAT